GGGGGGGGGGGGGGGGGCCGGGTCAAAACTGACCTTAGAACTGGGAACAGAATTCTGGTCCCAGTTCTGTTGCTGTTCTTTTTTCTTTTAACCTGAGTGATGAGAATGATTCTCAGGAATGGCCAACAGTTAAAGGATTGGGATTCAGTTGTGTTTCCCACTTGTGCTGGACATCGCAGGCACAGTCCAATTGAAGAGATCTCTTAAAAAACGAGTCCTTCAAGAGCAAATGTACAGAAGAGAGAGAGAGAATGGACAACTGAAGTAGTAATAGATGTGTGTGGTACATTTTTAATGGCAAACCTGAAAATGAGATTTGTATGAACCTGAAAGCTACAATCCAAGCTAAAACCACTGCACAAAGATTTGCTTGCACCGAAGAGAATGTTGTTTCTCTTTTTGAGATAATCCTTAGGCTTAGTTGATGTCTAGGAAGAATATACGAGCAGATTCCTTCACTTTCAGTCCTCTCTTCAAAGGTTATTCCATATTTGCTTAAGGATACACTAAATGTATAGCTACAATGTAGAGTTAAACTGGATGTTATTAAAAAAATACCTTCTTTGGATCTTCTCCACTGAGATAGCTGTAGATTTAAACAAACAGAAGCCAATTCTGGTTTTGCTCACATAACTAACACACATAGTTAAATACTATGTTTTACGTTCACATTTTTTTTTGGCATTTAGTGCCGTAACGTACAGTGGGACTTACTCCCATGTATATATGTTTAAGGTTTCAGACATAGATATGCCACTTTTGTTCCAGAATATACTTGCCCATTCAGTTTTCAGGGCTTTGCATCAGCAACACATGTCCTTGCTACTAGGATGGTTTTACAGTCCAGCTACCTAAAGGAAGTTTTTGTATCAGCAGCAATGTCAGATGATGCAAGTTTTTCCCCCAGTCTTTCTTCCTTTCCGTACTAGCTCAGATCTGCAATCTCTTTTGCTATAATTAAAGAAGACTCGATAATTCTTCCAATTTCCCTTTGGGTGTATGTTTTACTAGAAAGGGAAGCTTGCCTCCTGTTTAGTGAAGATTTTTCACTTGAGCAAATGCACGGATTACAAAAATTCAGCAGTATAAGACTGTAAGCTCAGTTTTTGAAAATGTGGCTTTAGAAAGACTGGGCATGTTACTTCATCTTAACTGTTGTATAGAGGGCTGAAATGCAGACATTCATGAAAATATAGGTGTACATACAGCATATACGAGTTGTGTTCACTACGTTAAGTTAGCATAGGTTTGCATATATATTTTACTTGTAAAATGTCCTAATGGGGTAAATTCAATGTGTGATTTTTTGCAAAGTAAAGAGCCAGAACACAATGATGTTATTAGTGCAGGGAAGACATCTTTCTGATAACTTCAGTATTTTTCATAGGTGAGTTATATTATACCCCAAAGTGCTATGCTAGAAGACCTGAGAATGTTCCCCAAAGTGATTTTGGAGGGGGGCAGATCATTTGGTGAGAGTACCATCAGAGGTTGCTCCTTTAAATAAGGCTTCAGCAAGTCTTTCTCTTGCATTTCCTTGGCTTGCATCCTATGGGTCCGAGATATTGTCATTTAAAATGAAAAGTTCATAGGAATCCTACAACATATATACCTTCTGGAACACTGGAGGAAAGAGAAGAAATATGGAGAAAATTTGAATACTTTCAGAAGCTTTCTTTTGAGAGTTGTTTACTGAATATCATTTTATCAGAAGCCAAAGACTCCTCAGTCAGGTGTATGTGGCAAAGATGGCAAGGCTACCAAAGGGAATGAAGGGATAATTACAGTTCTAAGGATAATGTCTTGTCCCATCATTGATTACTGAGAAATTTATAGCCCAAGAAGATGGCCAAGTGCCCCTAGTAGCAATCACAGTCTGACTGGCCATTTCAGCTTAACAAAAATTAAAACTCCTCTCCCAATTTTCCGTGAGATTGCTAAACTAACAGCTTCTAGAATCACAGATTGCTTTCTACGTTTCTTAAACTGAAAAAATAATTAAAGTAATGACATCAAAATGCATTTTTCAAAATTTGTTACATAAGACCGTCAGGATTCCTGTATGAAGAAGTCTTAATATTGTGTTTCCTGCAAAATATTTTGAAGCAAAGAAGATTAAAAAGTTACGCAATTCAAAACATTTAAAAACACTTATGTGTGAGAACCCAACTAAATAATTTCTTAATTTTTTTAAAAAATACACCAAGATCTCCCCACATAAAGGCTTGTAGTTTTCTAAACCCTGCAAACCAGTACTCACACCAATCAGAGCTAAAAAATCATAATTATGTAAAATTACACAATGTAAATTTAAGCAAATTTTTAATTCTATGTTAATAGATTTAATACCTATTCCTCAAATAGTTAAAAAGTTTTCCTGTGCATATTTTATGTATATAATTGGGCAGTCTTGGGGGTAAGAGTTCTGCGCGTGTAAAAAGAAAGATCTCTT